AAGGTTTTCGCCAATCATGGCTAAATTACCCTTTCTGAGTGAGACATCAAAGTACAAAGTGTCATGTCGGATATATACTCCAAGCAATTACAAGCTATTTTCAGGTGTCAACCACCTAAGTTTCAACCGTGATAATAAATCAACTTCTAGAACAATGTCAGTTATTATATTAAGTCCCAGGGACAAAGGTAGTCTGGGTCACTGATTATTCAGAGTTTATATAATCAGTTAATTTTAAAGAATGGGTTTATGATATTTTTGAAGCTTATCCAGTAAAATTTTTGTGGATTTTTAGAGGACTTAAAAACTCCCAATTATGCTCAGAACAAACCCTTAAAGAACAACAATAGATCATTACTGGATCTTGTGACTGTTGTCTTCAGTCATTAGACATGGTAATACATGTGGTTGAGGAATGAGATAGAAAGATTCAGCTTCCTTATAAAGAATGCAAAAAAAAAATTCATTCATTCTTTGAGAAAGGGAAACAAGAAAAATTTTAAGTGGTCAGAGAGGAGTTTCTGACTTGTAAAATCGAAACTGGTTTAGAAGTGATTTCAAGAGGTAAATCATATAGTTTCATCAAATTGGGCTTAGAAAAAGAGATACATGTTGGTAAACCTTAAATCAAATATAACTTCCTTAAAAAATGAAGTACAGGTTATTTTTTATTAAATTATTTGGCCTCCACATAACTAGTATGTGAAGTTTAATGAAGGATGTCTTAAGTTTTTGAATTTATTCTATTTCCATGCTTCTATGTTGGATGCACAAATATGGTTCAACAGAACTGTGAAACAAACATTATCTTAAATAAATCTATTCTCCAGAGCTTTTCAAGAACTGGTGGAATTTATGGGATTTGTGACAAAGACTTTGTACCATCATTATTACATTTTGGCTTCAGAATTTGATGATAGTGCTCTAAACTAAAGCTTAACAAATCTCACTGAGGTTCTGGGTAGGGAATATTTGTTCTTTTCGCTGATGCTGATAAAACATGTCTTAGTTTATTATTTCATCCCAGCTTGTATTCATCTTATTTTATCTTCAAATTATTTTAACTTATAATAACTCACACTTTCCAAACGCATTGTTCTTGCTTCAGTGATTGTACAATGATGGTGAATTTGATCAGGAACACAGTGTATCAGGCTTTGGAAATTAAAGACTGGTTTTTGGGATTCTCGGTGACAAGACTTGGAAGTAATAAAATGGTAATTGTTTTCCTTCATCCAAAACTAAGATTGTATTAACAGAGGAGTTAAAAGGAAGGCTATATTTCTGTCGCCTAATGGCTACACATTTTAGAATACAGATAAAAATATGAGAATGATACTATTTCATGAACTTGAACCCCATGGAAAAATTATGAACCCCCTGTAATTTTCTGAGTGTTAAGAATACTAAGAGCATCTCTTGCTTTAAGATTTACCTTTGACTCATCCTTTATCATATGTTTAATAAACTAGTAACATAAGTAAGCATTTCCCTTAGTTCTGTGAGTTTTCTAGCAAATTATTTGCTTCCAAGGAAGAGGTCATGTGAACCTCCAAATTATAACCAATCAGACGGAGTTGTCAGTAACCTGAGAACCTACTAGTTACCATTGGCTTCTGAAGGAGAGAGAGAGAGAGAGGACAGTCTCACAGAAGTGGGTCCTTAAACTGAGAGATCTAATGCTATCTCCAGGTAGATAGAATTGAGTTAAATTATGGGATATACAGTTGATATCCCAGAATTGCTTGCTGTGGGCAAAACCTTCACACATTTGGTGACCAGAAGTGTCAGAAAGGAAGTGTTACAAGTAGAAAAGGATAGGTACAGGAGCAGAAAACTGAGTTTTCCTAATGCAGTATCAATTCAGCTAACTTTTTGAGCACCTATCAATACTATGCACTCAGAACTGTACTATGCAAAGATACCCAGAATAAATAAAACAAAATTTTTAGCATCTACATAATGTGACCTAGGATTCTGCCAATCTTTTTAGCAGAAAGAATTAGAAAGACAAAAAGACATCTTTAAAACATCTATACCAGGCTCTATTTTTCTTAACAATAGTTCTGAATATTGAAGAGTATAAATATACTGAGTATAGCACCTTATTGGCTTGAGCAAAAAGTATATATAACTCCTCTCTAGTCTTTTCCTTGTTTTCAGTTAAATATCATATTAGTTGTAAAATGAGGGACAAACATTCTTTAAGTTCTGTTTAAGCCCAAAACAAAACCAAAAGCAGGCTTGGCCCTCCATCTCTTTGTTTTATTATTTCCTGGGTTAGTGGCATATCTTGGTGACTTCTTTGGCTAAGAAAGTTGCCTGGGTAGATTTAACCCTGGGAACGTGTAGCAGTTTAGACCCTCCTGCTCTTAACTGCAATGCTCTGTGTTTTTGTTTTCTTCATAAGTTGGAGGACAGTGAGTGCTAGCAACAGGGAAGTGATGCTGAGACAGAAGGAAGGAGGAAGCTGGGGTCACATGATTCAAAGTGATAGGTCTACATGCTTCTGAGAATTATTGAATAATTTACTCTTCAGATCTTGGTTCATCTGATGTAACTTGCAGCACAGACGCCAGAGATAAAAACCTGGATCAACTGTCCTTTCTGACTACCTGGTCCTTCTCCTTGCCTCTCTATGCTTTTACTTACTTTCCTTTTTTTGCAGACTTTTAGAATGTACTTGGAAATCCAGAAATTGAGATTTCCTTACATGTAGCAATTGCCCTTTTGTTTGATGTCTGTAAACTCACAGGACAGAACCTTTATATTGCCATCTTGCGTGGGTTAATATCAATGCTTTTTGTTTAGAGTAGTTCCCCCATATTTTGCTATCAGCAGATGCCAAAATTAGATGACCATAAGAACATTATGCAGGAAAGACTCAGGCCTTAATCTAATATTTTGGGACACAGTAATCATCACAAGCCATTTTTTTCTTTTTGCAAAAAATCATGATATTTTATGCTGTATTTCCACTCCTAAAATGACTTCACTGTTGGTGATGGTCCTGGCATTTGTCCTTTAGGAGAAGTCAGAAAACAGGTACAGGAGAAGCTGAAGCGCTTCCTTGCTGTCTTCTATTCCTGCCTGGACAGGGCAGGTGACTACCAGGTAGCAATAGATGACTACCAGTCCCCTTATAATGGACAATGAAGGGGTACTGCTTGCCTTTTTTGGTTAGAACAGACAATATTTTAAGGAGAAGACCAATGATTAGAATCACCAGTGCATGGTCTCCCTCTTAGCCACCCCATTTGATTTTTTTCTTTCTTGAAAACATCACTGTATATTTCAAGAACCAGCATTTCAAAGGTCATTTCAAGTAAGTGCCAAGATATGAAAATATAAGCCTAATGGGCCCAAGAAGTCTCTTTGAATGAAGCAGAATTTTCTTAACTCCACTGTTGTCTATTTTCTTTATTAGCCCAAGCCTTTTTAACATCTTTCCTTCTGCCACAGCCCTGCTAGTGTTTCTCCCAGAATGATCTCGGGCACCATGAATCTGCATAGACTAAGAATGTGGGTAACCCAAAATAGTCTTATTCATAAAAAAAAAAAATCGATATTAAGGTCTGTTGAAAACAACAACAGTGTCACAGTTTGTCACTCTGGTCACAAGACCAGGATGCTCTTTGTCTGCAACTACCCACCCAGGGTTCACAGAGAAAACCAGCAGAACCCTGTTCAAGGGCTTCCCAAGGCATTCCCAGGTACCGCGTTGGCCAAGTCTAGGCAGTTAAGACATGGAAAAGGGAGTTTATCTCTTAGGTCTTGGTGCTACTTTCTACAACAGACCCGTTTAGGAATGTCTGACATAGGCTTGAACACAGAAGCTCATATCTGACTGTGAAAGTAAAGCTAATGTGACTTCTCAGAGCAGAATTTCTACTCCAGGGAACGCAGGCTCCCCTGGGTTGAGGAGTTAAAGGCAAATTGCTTGTGGGCTGTCAGTTGGTGATCAGCTCTGGAGTCTGTTTCATCTGTATTCCTAATTAAAGCCCAAATTAAACCCAGTCAAATGTTCCCATGAAAAAAACACAAGAATGAGATTCCAAATTCTCATCAGCACAAAAGGAGTCTCATGTGTAAACCCTTAATTCAAATGTCTGACCCTCTTTATATCTGCTTCCCCCAAGAGTTCTGGGAAGAGGTTATTCAATGTACAGAAAGCAACTTGCCTGGATTTTTAATTTTCCTCTCAGTGACTTGCATGAGAGAAATCAGTATCCAGTCAATCGAATGAATCTGTAGGTCTATGGGATGAAGGAAGAGGGAGGAGTCAATGTTGACCCCTGTTCCTATTCTGAAAACTGAGGAGTGGGGACACTGAAAAAGAAGCTGCTTTGTTGCTAAGGTGGTAAGTTTGGCTGTGGAAAGTTCAGTTTGAGTTCTCAGGGGGAATAGGAAATGAGACCCAGAGGCTAAAAGCAAGGTAGAGTCTGAAGAGAAAAGTGGGGGTCATCAAAACCTGAGGCATTGGGTAAATTAGATCAATGTGAGGAAAATACAAAGTGAGAAGGGGGATTGAGATGACGCCACTGCTGCAATCTTGCATGGAGATGAGAAGCCCCCTGCCTACTGGCGTGCTGGTTCCCTCATTTTCCCACAGACAATATGGGATATGGCACATTATTCATGAATTTGCTGGGATAAACCTTGCATAAAAATGACTCACTCAGTTGTCTGTAGTCTTCTTATTCATCACAGGTGAAAACAGGTCTGTTGTCACCAGAAATCCACAAAGAACAATGCAGTTGAAGACAGCCAGTAAAGGGGTGCTATTTACTCCTCACCCGCCAACCCCTCCAGCCCTATGAAGCAGGTTTTAATTACAGAGAAGTGGATAGTCGCCACGCCACTCTGCCAAGGATCCGTTGGGCCTATTACCATACACTGAGTGCTTTACTTCGAAATTTCCCTCCAACCCTCCTTCCACCCTCTCAGTGGGCTCAGTCATGACAGCAGAAGTTAGAAGGCAGGTTTTCAGAAAAACTCACCCTGGGGTCTTTCTCCAGCTGCTGCTTATGGTGTAGGCTACGTCTTCTCTTGGCCTTTGCAAGGCTGTTGTGATAGAAGTGGTACATGCCTTCAGTGAAAGGGAGCTGTGGAGTCAAACAGACACAAGGCATGGTTAGCTTCTGATGGGGGCCCTAGAACAGGGACTCTGAAGCTGGGGCTGCACACTGGGCATCCACGGGATGGGGATATATGTGAAAAAACTCCTGCAAACCTGTATCACCATGCCCTGCTTTCTTCCAACCTAGTCCTGTCTTCACAGCTGGATTGCCTCTCCTCTCTCTGACCCTTGGGTGCTTGTCTCCTTGCTGGGCAATGCAAATATGCAAAGCTAGTAAGTATGAATGACAGTCTAAGTTTCCCCTCCATCTCTCTTTCCTAAGAATTCTTGGAATTAGGTATGAATGTTAGAACTGGTTAGAGAAGCCCCAATAGTGAGAACCGATGAGGGGCTCAGAGTCTGTAAGCATCTAAGAGAACTTAAAGAGGATTGTCTGGCCTTCCCGGTGACGCAGCAGGTTGAGCACAGTGCTAAGAAGCTGTCGGCAGCCTCTGCAGTGCAGGTTCGATTCCTGGCTGGCCAGGGAGCTACCCACATGGTGCAGTAGACCTCTCTTGTCTCTCCAGCTGCTCCCCTCAGTAGTGTATTTCAGCAGACCTGCCTGTTCTGTTCACTGCTCCATCTCTGGTGAATCCTCTCACCCCTTGCATCTCTGGCCTGTGCCCCAGTTCTTGTATGCATAAATAAATAAATCCTTAAGAAAAATAAAGAAGATTGTCACTTTCTCCATGATTCATGGTCACTTGGTGTGAAAAGCCTTACCTGAGTGTCAAGAAATGTGTTGTGGAATATTCTGTTACTATCTAACCTTGGCCAAGTCACTTCCCCTCTGGGGCTCTTTTTGTCTTTTTCTTTAGATAAATGGAATGTTGAATTCTCCAGATCACCTCTCTTTCTCCACATGTCTTCATAAATATGGAACTTTTAAGCAATCATTTAAATAAAAAGTAAACAATTGACCATAAAGGGTAAGGTCATGAGGCGGTTGTTTTTCAGTTCTTAACCTAATTAATGAATTTAATTGAATGCTGGTAAATTATTGTCAAAATCATGGATATTTTTGGAGAGATGAGACATAATTTTCATCAGACTCCTAGGAGTCCCCTAACCAAAAATATTTCACTATTCAAAGTATTTGCTATTGAAGCCATCCCATATATGTGAAGTCACTCAGGGTTTGAAAGAAAAGGGAAGGGGATGTGGGTGCTTGGGAAGTAAGAAAGGTCTTACCAATACAGGTGGGGCCAATATGAACATTTTTTGTTTAAGTAGGGATCTTTGTCTGGTCCAAATATTTAAGAAACATTCATTATTATTTTTAATATAAAAATATACAGAAAAATTACATAACAAAAGTATAAGCAATGAAGTAAAAAAAAAATCACATTTTTTTAGGGAGTATTAAATTTAGAAGGTTATCTTTTATTAATTCAGTCCACCTTCTTCCAAGAACAAAGTACTATTCCCTTAATAGTTACAAGAGTCAGTTTTAGATTTTCCTCTTTGCTTATACACACACACACACAGAGTATATTACTGTTCAAAATGATTTGTCACTTATCACCTATGTTTATCAAAAGCATCTACTGATACATCCTACTTCCTTTTTAACAGCTGTATAGTGCTCAATTATATGAGCTACATCATGATTTATTTAACTTGTCCATTATTTATGTATATTAAAACATTTCATTTGTTACACTTAAAAAGAATGTTGTGTGTTGAGGTGAGAGAAAACCAGTAATGATGGAGTAGGCATCTTCAAAAAACAACCAAAAGCAAGTCGAATACTGAGATAAATTGAAAATCAACTTTTTCTGAACTCTGGAAATTGACAAAAGACTTGCAGAAATCTGAGGAGCATTTGTTCAAGGAAAGCAGTTTAATCTCAGTAATAACATTACAGGGCAGGGAGAGGGGCACCCCAGAACTCCCAAACCTGCCTGCTCTAAATAGGTTCTGCCATCCGCTGCCATCAAGACAGAACATAAAAGACCTTTAATGGAAAGGAAGTTTAATACAATTAGTGAACAATACAGAAAAGGCAAAGAAGATAGTTTTTAAATTAAGCACCTGAAGCTACCCATTCCTTCATGGGTAAAAGTCCACCCAAATGGGATTGGCCCAAAGCAAGGCCCAAAAGCCTGCCGTAAGTCTAAAGCAACTTCCAGTGGGGACCCATAGAAAAGGATCAGAAACAGCCAGACAAGGAAAAGAGCAACATCAAAATCAAGATAAAAGCTGACATTGTTAGCCTCCCTTCCGGTCTCTCACCCACGTCTGTTTCACCAGTCCATGACCAAAAGGCAAACGGTTTCTTCACACGTTTTTCTGCTCCACATGCCTCCTTTAGGTCTCCTTGCTCTCCATCCTGCTTTCTCCTTGCCAGTTCTTCTCCCTGCTCAGCTCCACCCTCCCTTGGGTGGAGCAGGAAACCTGGAAACTCCCCTTTATCTGGGCACCACCCTGTTACAATAAAAGCAACGTTTGCATTTTAACTTGTCCTATTCTCATCCATTTCTCCTCTTTTCTATGGTATCTTCCAAAACCAATGGTCTTGTATCACAATAGCCATGAAAACTTGCACTTAACAGAGACAATGGAGGGTGTAGACTTGGTTTAGAGCTATTCAGACAGATCCATTCCCAGATAATTATATGGAAGTTTCTTCCAAAGTTCCATTCATAGGGTTTGTTATTATTTTCTCTGACCCAGAGTTTGCTCAGAGGCTGACCAAAGAAACATCTGGGGAATGAGGTGTCCAGATACTTGCAAACATTTAGCATGATCCTATATTTAGAAGGCCACACACGTGCCAAACTATGCACATGACCAGGAAATTCCTGGGAAAACTCTAAATTCTCATTTCTGTTGGCTAACATTAGTTCCCTCTGCCAATTGGTGACATCAGCAAGGAGCAGCTCAGATAGGAATCCTCAATGGATATTCCTGGCACGGAGGAGGGGCCTGGGGCTACTGAAACAGATATTGGATGAATTTCAAGCCAGCTTGGCTAGGGGTCTGCTGCATGAATGAAAATCTCTTAGAACACTGCAATTTTTATGAGTTAGTTCCTGTTCATTAAAAACCATATTTTCCAGGGCAAATTAAGCATAAATATTTCACATGCATTTTCCAGGCTTAGTGGCTCTTGAATGTTTTCTCAATGGAACCCTGCTGGTGTATTCAGGGCAGTATTTGGATCTGATGAAAAAAAAAAAAAAAAAGGAGGATGGAGTAGGAGGAAAATGAATTTGTGCTGACCCTTTGCTCTCCAGACTGTGCTTCTGACCACTGTCACATTGTATGAACATTAACAGGGTAGGGTGAGGTGCACCCCAGGACTTCCAAACCTGCATGTTCTGAATGGGTTCTGCCATCTACCGCGTAGAGAAAAAACATACTTAGTGCATGAGACCTTCTATGGGAAGAAACTTAAGGACAATTAACGTGCGATAAAGAAAAAGAAAGAATGGAGTTTCCAAATAAAGCACCCAAAGTTACTCATCCCCTCGTGGGTAAAATGCCTATGCAGACAGGGTTGGCCCAAAGCAGGACTGCTGAGGCCCAAAAGCCTGCCACAAGTCTAAAGTGCCTTCTGGTGGGGACCCACAGGAAAGGGGCAGAAGGGGCCAGACAAGTCTGGAAGAGTAAAATCAAAATCAAGATAAATGTTAACCTCCCATCTCTCTTACCCATGACTCTCTCTCAAGTGTCTCCTACCATGTCCCCCAAGTCCCTGGTACAAGTCCAAGGCTGAGAAGCAAGTGCAGCTCCTTCACATGTCTCTCTGCTCCATGTGCCTCCTCCAGGTCTTCTTCATATCCTTTCTTGCTTCTCCCTGTCTCCTCTAACTTCCCCTCTGTGCTCATCTCCACCCTAGTCTTCCTTGGGTGGAGCAGGGAATCTGCAACTTCCTCTTTCCCTAGGGATTACCTTGTTATGAGCTTGGAATTATTTCCAGTTTTGGATGCATTACAGAGGCAACTCCATAAAGGCAGAGGTACCATGCTCCCTGCAATTCCCCCCGCCCCACACACACATCATCCACCTTAGACTAGATACAGGAACGAGGGGCGGGGCTGAGCGGCCAGGTGACATTATATCACGAAAGGCAGGTGGGCTGTAAAAAAGGGAGAGCTCTTGTTCCTGCAGCCCAACTTGCACCTTTGTCCTTCTAGGAATGAGACACGTGGAAGAGAGACATGTAGAGACATTTGAAAGAGAGACATGGGTGAGAGACAAAAAAGGCAGCTGCTATCTTGATGTGGTGAGAGTTCTGCTGTGCCTGTGGGTAGTTCCCTGGCTGGGGATCTAACTGGCACTGCAGAGGCTGTGGACAGCTTCACAGCACTGCACTCAACCCTTTGCACCACTAGGGAGGCCATGGTGTCTCCTTTGTTCCAGTTTTCTGGGACCTGTTTCAGAGCCTCTTTCTTGTTGTTCTGTTAGGGGGAAAGGATGTCCTGAGCTAATCCCATACAGGCTTTGTGGACTCCACCCCCACTCCAGACCAAAGCCATCAAGACATTGGGAAAGACAAATCCCATCACCACCAAAGGGAAGGTGGCTGGGACCTGAGGGTGGAGTTAAGCAGCCAGGTTGGGTATAAAAACCAAACATGTGGGCCTTGGGCTCTCTCGCTCTGTCGCTCACCTCCTGGCTTCATGGCTCCTGGCTTGCAGCCAGTTCTCAGAGTGCCATTTGGGATTCCAGATCTGCGGATCGGGTAGGACGCATTTAAAACTTTGTCTCCCACTTTTCTCCCTGAATGTACATTTCCCCATTTCCCCTTCCCTTGTAAATAAACCTTTTAGTAGCCTTTCATGTGTGCCTGCAGTAGAGTATTGATAAGTCCTTTTAAGTGCGCAGGTGAGGACCCACAGTCAGGCACCCCGTTTTGTACCGGGAGCTGCCCTATAACAGTTCCCCACAGAAGATGCCTCAGATTTGTGGCGAGCTTTGAGGCCTCAGCAGTCCTACTTTGGGCCAACCATGTTTGGCTGGGTATTTGTCCATGAGGTG